GCTCCAGAATGAGCTGTTGTTCAGCATCTTAGCTGTAGAGGGCTAGTGTCACTGGCCCTCATATGTGGGATCCGAACCGGGGCCCCCGTTGACCTAAGCCAGTTCTTAACCATTGCGCCACTCGGCCGGTCCAACTTGCTGTCCTTTTGTTCTTCAGTCTAGTTGTGGAGGACGTTGCTTCACTGGCCCATGTTGGTATTATCATTGTGCTCTTCCCGGATGAGGCAGATTGGTCATCAGCCTCTGGACGGCTGCTCACAGCGGCTCTTGGCACCTCACACTGACTGCCAGCCGCTCACGCTGGCTGCCAGCCACACACGGTAGCTTATGGCAGCCCACTGTAGCAGGGGCTGCAGCCTATGCCGTTGTCGGCAACTCACGGCAGCCCGGCTTCAGGTCGAGCTCCTGCTCACCATCTTAGCTGTAGAGGGCGCAGCGTCACTGGCCCTCATGTGGGATCTGAACTGGGGCCCTGCTGCTCAGAGCTGGCGTCCCAAGCCAGCTCTTAACCAACGCGCCACTCGTCCGGCCTAACAAAATTTTCATATGACGATTCATTACAATTTATTTGACAATGAAAAAGACCTAGAGTAGTCAAAACAATTTTGAAAAGTTAGAATACTTACACTACATGATTTCAAGACTTACTATAAAGCTCCAGTAACCAAGAATGTGGTATTGGCATAAGGAGAGACACATAGATCAATGAATCAGAAGAGACACTCCAGAAATAAACCCACACATACATGGCCAATTTGTTTTTGACAAAAAACTATCAAGGTGGACCAGCCAGGCAGCTCAGTTGCTTAGAGCTCGAGCTCTGAGCAACAGGGCTGCCAGTCCAATTCCCACATAAGCCAGTGAGCTGTGCCTGAGCTGAGCTGCCGCTAAGCTGCCAACAGGCAACCAGATGGCTCAACTGGTGAGCGTGCAAGCTCTTAATAACAAGGTTGCCAGTTTGACTCCTGCATGGGATGGGGGGGTTGCGGCCTCCACACACAGACAACTAAGATTGAAAGCAGCAACTGGAGGGGGCCGGCCGAGTGGCGCGATGGTTAAGAACTGGCTTGGGATGCCAGAGGGCCCCGGTTCGGATCCCACATATGAGGGCCAGTNCAGTTGCTGGCCGCTCACGCTGGCTGCTGGCTACATACGGTAGCCCATGGCAACCCACTGCCACAGGGGCTGCAGCCTACGCTGTCGCCGGCAACTCACAGCAGCCCAGCTCCAGGTTGAGCTGTTGTTCAGCGTCTTAGCTGTGGAGGGCAGTGTCACTGGCCCTCATATATGGGATCCAAACCGGGGTCCTCTGGCATCCCAAGCCAGTTCTTAACCATCACGCCACTCAGCCGGCCCTACCTTGCTGGGTTTTAATCTCCCCCAAAATCCCAGAGCAAGCCCCCATTTTACAGATTAGGAAACAGGGCTCAGAGAGATGAAGTGACTTACCTGAGGTCACACAGCCAAGACATGTCAGAACTAGACTTCCAACTCAACAATTTGATGCCAAAACCAGGACTGAGACTCTCTTCTCTGATTTCCATCCCCAGCCTTAATTCTCTGTTCTCTCCCACCCACCAATCTGTGCGCTGACTCTTGACTCCAGCTTGTCAAAGGTTCCTGACTCTGAGGCTATCCCAGCTCACCCCCAAGTTTAAAAAATTCCTGTACCCTGCTTCCTGTCTCTATCTTCCCCAAGTCATGGGTGCTAACTCTGACCTTACCCCGCCCGCCAGGTGGTGGTAAATGGAAATCCATTCTATGAGTTTGGGCACCGGATCCCCCTGCAGATGGTCACCCACCTGCAAGTGGATGGGGACTTGGAGCTTCAATCAATCAACTTCATCGGAGGCCAGCCTGCCCCAAGCCACGTGTGTAGTGTCTCCCTTTTTTATTTGCTTCCTTCTTTAATGAATTCATCCCCACATTTGTTAATTTCCTGAGCATCTGCTCTGTGCCAGTCCTTTCGTTAGGTGATGCCATGGACCTAGAGGTGACCAAGGCAGTCTACTATATCACCAGATGGTGTTGGCCACAAGTGATCAGGGCCGGGATGGGAGACATACAGGAGCTTTGGGGCATAATAAAGATGGGTTTCCTGGAGGAGGAGGTTAAGTTGAGTCAGGAAGTGAAGAGGAGGAGGAACAAAAACCACAGAAATAGCAAACAAGTTCATGAGAAGTTCCCTAACATCATTAGTCACCGGGGAAAGTCACTGAAAATCACCACGAGTTACCCCTACACCCACCAGAAGAGCTACAACGAGAAAGGCCCACAGTACCAATTGTCAGTGAGGCTGCAGACGGGCCCACTCTCAACAGTCCTTGGAAAATGACTGGACAGCATCTATGAAAGCTGAACAAAGCTAAGCCCAACCACTTAGAAATCCCAGTCCCAGGTCCACAATGAACCATGGGCATCAGAACACATTCACTGGAACTACTCAGGGAAGCCCAAACTCCAGACTCTTGTTTTTCAGCCGAGGGCTCCACACTCCCAACCTGTAACCCCCTGAGCACCTTCATGGAGAAAATGCTCTGATGAGCATGAGACACCTTTTACAGATATGGGAACTGAGACACAGAGAGTTTAAGTAACTTGCCCAAGGTCACAAAGCTGATAAGTGGCAGAGCCACAGGGTCTGTGCTCAGACTGTTCCTCTACCTCCTGGATGAGGAAATGTTGGGAATCTCTTAATCCGTAAGGCGGCCGAGGGTCTATGGGCTTCATTTTACTATCATGCTTCATCATGATAGTTTGCATTTTAAAAAGAAAAACAACAATCAAGCTATTTTTAAAGGGCCTTCAGAATAGCTGACATAAAATGGAAGTCAAGACAGAAAGGACTTCGCTAGAAAGAGGAGGAAACCAAGAGAGAGAGAGAGTGAATAGAAGTTAACAAGGGAAGGGAATAAAGGTGTTCCAGTAGGAGGAACCACCTGTGAGAAGGTGTGGATGAGAGAGAGCAACAGAGACATAGGCACAGAAACTGAGAAATGGAAAGAGAGAGACACACACAGACTGAGAGAGCCTGAGACAGACAAGGGAGAGAGAAACAGGAACTTGGCTGGTTCCAAGGACTCCTCGTAGCCCCAGTGATGGCCACGTGGAGGGAGGGGCAAATGGTGGCTGGGGATGAGGTGAAAAGGAGTGCTGTGTACACTTTATCATGCAGCCTATGAGTTGAGGGGGACAGAGAGGGGCTGATGAGGGTTCTGGGAGAGCAGGAAGCCAGGACAGGGAAGGGTACAAGGACAGAATTTACCAGGCTTGTCTAAAGGGGTGGAATGAGATTTACTGTGGCCTGGAGCTCCCGAAACACGGCCAATCTCTCTCCATTACTGAGCCATCTGGGTGCCACCCTTTGACCCCAGAATTCCCTTGGATGGTGGTGGTTGGCTACCCTGCGACAGGCATCCTTGACACCCTCTAGGTTTAGTTTGGGGTCCCGCTAATTGTTTCCTTCTCCTTCTGTGCCCATAGACACCCATGGTTACTCCGGCGTACCCAGTAAGTACCTGCTGTTGGGTGATGAATTTCCCCTTGAGGTGGAGGTTCGGTGGCTGAGGGGTTCCGGGGCAGCCAAAGACCCTAGTCCCCCTCACCATTTCTGCCTTCTGTCTATCCATTTAGGGTCCCGGAGGGTCCTACCAACCACCGCTGAGTAGCCTGCCGGTAAGTGGGAGGGCTGGGTGGCTATCTGGTGGACAGGTGGTGAAAATTGGGAGCATCATAGAGGCTCGATCTCCAGTGGAAGTAATCCAGCACCATGAGACACGCCTGCATGTAGTAGATGTGCCATAAATATTTGTCAGATATTATAGGATAATATCTCTTCTTCCTCACTTCACAGACCATGGAGGGACCTCCAACCTTCAACCCGGTAAGACGTCCTGTAGGAGTTTAGGGCTCTGTGATGGGCGATTTGTGGGGAAGCAAGAACTGATGGTGGATAGGGGACACCAATCCACAGAGAGCCCTGAGAGGGTAGGAAAGAGAATGGGCAGAGAGCATTTGGAACGGAAAGTGAGAAGAGGGTTGGGTTGGTGGTCAGGGTGGGACAGGGCCCAGGGTTTGGGGGCATTTCCCAGGAAGTGTAGGGGCCCCTCTCTGAAAATTTTTTCCCTGCTTCTGGCTTCTGGTGACCTGAGAGGTGATGGAACCCCATGTTCTCTTCCCACAGCCTGTGCCATTTGTGGGGAGACTGCAAGGAGGCCTCACAGCCCGAAAAACCATCATAATCAAGGGCTATGTACCCCCCACAGGCAAGAGGTACAGAACTGAGGCTGAGGAGGAGATCCTCAGTCCCCCTCCTCCTTCAGACCAGGCGTCCAGTCCCCAGCCCTTTCCTCTCCTGGGGAACCAGGTGCTAGCACCCCGGCTGACTCCCATCTCCCTCTTTGTCCCCAGTTTTACCATCAACTTCAAGGTGGGATCCACAGGAGACCTGGCTCTGCACATTAATCCCCGCATGGACGAAGGTGCCGTGGTTCGGAACAGCTGCCTGAATGGCTCATGGGGATCTGAGGATAGGAAGCTCTCCTACAACCCCTTTGGTTGTGGCCAGTTCTTTGATGTGAGTCTGGGTCTCTTTTCCCCCTCCCTCTAAAGCCTCTGTCCTGGCCCTGGCCTCATGCCCATCCCTCTCCCTACAGCTGTCCGTTCGCTGTGGCTTGGATCGCTTTAAGGTTTTCGCCAATGGCCAGCACCTCTTCGACTTCTCCCATCGCCTTTCGTCCTTCCAGAAGGTAGACATGCTGGAGATCCAGGGTGATGTCACCTTGTCCTACGTCCAGATTTGATCTGTTCCTGGAACCACAGCCCCTGGCAACACAGAAAGAAAGATTCCATAAGACTCCCTTCTAGGCCCCTAATAAAATGTCTGAAGGTGTCTCATGAGTGTCCGTGACTCCATTCACATCCCTCACTGTTCCTTCCTTCCTTGGTTCAATCATGCACTGTCCATTCAGCCATCCAATCATCTATCCATCCATCCTTCCATTATAATGAATCTAGGTACCCCACCCCACCCCACCCAGACACTGATCTTAGGGCCTAAGTGTATCTACTCATTCACTCCTCACAACAATTATTATCATCCAAAATCAAAAATTAAGGAGGGAACACCACTAATGACTCTACAGAAAATACAATGATTACAAGGGAACACTATGAACAAGTTTAAGCCAACAGATTAGTCAACTTAGATGAAGACAACAAATTCCTAGAAAGTCAGAAATTATCTAAACTGACTAAATAAATAAAAAATGTTTTTTTTCTCCATAGAAACATTAACAACAACAAAAAAAATTTTTTTTAAATTTTATTGGGGAATTGGGGGGATGGGAACAGCGCTGGGGAATTGGAGAAGGGGAACAGGCAAGTTGCTGTTGTTTCGTTCTTCAGTCTAGTTGTGGAGGACGTTGCTTCACTGGCCCAAGTTGGCACCATCATTGCGCTCTTCCCGGGTGAGGCAGATCAGCCGCCGGCTTCTGGATGGCCACTCACTGCGGCTGCTGGCCGCTCACGCTGGCTGCTGGCTACATACGGTAGCCCATGGCAACCCACTGCCACAGGGGCAGCAGCCTACGCCGTCGCCAGCGACTCACAGCAGCGCAGCTCCAGAATGAGCTGTTGTTCAGCATCTTAGCTGTAGAGGGCTAGTGTCACTGGCCCTCATATGTGGGATCCGAACCGGGGCCCCCGTTGACCTAAGCCAGTTCTTAACCATTGCGCCACTCGGCCGGTCCAACTTGCTGTCCTTTTGTTCTTCAGTCTAGTTGTGGAGGACGTTGCTTCACTGGCCCATGTTGGTATTATCATTGTGCTCTTCCCGGATGAGGCAGATTGGTCATCAGCCTCTGGACGGCTGCTCACAGCGGCTCTTGGCACCTCACACTGACTGCCAGCCGCTCACGCTGGCTGCCAGCCACACACGGTAGCTTATGGCAGCCCACTGTAGCAGGGGCTGCAGCCTATGCCGTTGTCGGCAACTCACGGCAGCCCGGCTTCAGGTCGAGCTCCTGCTCACCATCTTAGCTGTAGAGGGCGCAGCGTCACTGGCCCTCATGTGGGATCTGAACTGGGGCCCTGCTGCTCAGAGCTGGCGTCCCAAGCCAGCTCTTAACCAACGCGCCACTCGTCCGGCCTAACAAAATTTTCATATGACGATTCATTACAATTTATTTGACAATGAAAAAGACCTAGAGTAGTCAAAACAATTTTGAAAAGTTAGAATACTTACACTACATGATTTCAAGACTTACTATAAAGCTCCAGTAACCAAGAATGTGGTATTGGCATAAGGAGAGACACATAGATCAATGAATCAGAAGAGACACTCCAGAAATAAACCCACACATACATGGCCAATTTGTTTTTGACAAAAAACTATCAAGGTGGACCAGCCAGGCAGCTCAGTTGCTTAGAGCTCGAGCTCTGAGCAACAGGGCTGCCAGTCCAATTCCCACATAAGCCAGTGAGCTGTGCCTGAGCTGAGCTGCCGCTAAGCTGCCAACAGGCAACCAGATGGCTCAACTGGTGAGCGTGCAAGCTCTTAATAACAAGGTTGCCAGTTTGACTCCTGCATGGGATGGGGGGGTTGCGGCCTCCACACACAGACAACTAAGATTGAAAGCAGCAACTGGAGGGGGCCGGCCGAGTGGCGCGATGGTTAAGAACTGGCTTGGGATGCCAGAGGGCCCCGGTTCGGATCCCACATATGAGGGCCAGTGACACTGCCCTCTACAGCTAAGATGCTGAACAACAGCTCAACCTGGAGCTGGGCTGCTGTGAGTCGCTGGCAACGGCCGTAGGCTGCAGCCCCAGTGTGAGCGGCCAGCAGCTGCCGTGAGCGGCCGTCCAGAAGCCGGCGAGGCTTCTGATCTGCCTCGCCTGGGAAGAGCACAATGATGGTGCCAACTTGGGCCAGTGAAGCAACGTCCTCCACAACTAGACTGAAGAACAAAACAACAGCGACTTGTTTGTTCCCCTTCCCCCAATTCCCCAGCTCTGTTCCCATACCCCCAATTCCCCAATTAAAAAAAAAATCTTAAAAAAAAATGATGCTGAAGTAACTGGAAGTCCATATGGTATGGACTTCCACTATACACAAAAGTTAAAAATAGATCATAGACCTAAACATAAATTAGAAAACTATAAAAACAGCTAGGAAAAATAAGCACAAGAGATCATCTTTGTGACTTAGGTAGACAAAGATTTCTTAAATAGGACATAAAAGCATAAGCCATAATAGATACAGTTGATAAAGTGTATCACAGTTAAAGACTTCTGGTCTGAGAAAGACACTGTTAAGAAAATGAAAAGGCTAACCACAGATTAGGAGAAAATATTCACAAGACATATGTTTGACAAAGGACTATATTCAGAAAGTATAAAGAACTCTTTTAACCCAATAATAAGACAACAAACAATCCAGTTAAAATTGGGCAAAAGATTCAAACAGACAATTCACAAAGAGAATACATAAATGGTCACTAAGCATCAGTACTACAGGAAAATGCAAATTAAACCACAATGAGGGTCGGCCAGTTAGCTCAGTTGGCTAGAGCACAGGCGCATAACACCAAGGTTGCCGGTTCAATCACCACATGGGCCAGTGAGCTGCGCCCTCCACAACTAGATGGAAAACAACGACTTGATTTGGAGCGGATGGGTCCTGGAAAAACACACTGCTCCCCCATAAAATTTATTTATTATTATTTTAAAAAGATTTTTATTGGGGAATTGGGGGAGGAAAACTGCGTTGGGCAATCCGGGAAGGGGAACAGACAAGCTCCTGTCCTTTTGTTCTTCAGTCTAGTTGTGGAGGAGGTTGCTTCACTGGCCCATGTTGGTATTATCATTGCACTCTTCCCGGCTGAGGCAGTCACTCGTGGGCCATTGGATGGCTGCTCACAGCAGATCACGGAGGCTCACGCCTGCTGCCAGCCACTCACGGTAGCGTATGGCAGCCCACTGCAGCTCCACTGCAGCCTATGCCGTCACTGGCGACTCAGGGCAGCCCAGCTCCAGGTTGAGCTGTTACCATCTTAGCTGTGAGGGCGTAGCATCACTGGCCTTAATGTGGGATCCGAATCAGGGCCTTGCTGCTCAGAGCTGGCGTCCCAAGCCAACTCTTAACCAACGTGCAACTCGGCCGGCCCTCCAATAAAATTTATTTAAAAAAAAACAAAACACAATGAGATACCAATACACATCCACTGCAATGGCTAAAGTTAAAATGAATCAACAAGCAGAAATCTGACAATACTACCTGTTGGTGAGGGTGTGATATAACTTTCAGACACTGCAGGTGGACATATAGAATGGTTCCACCATGCTGAAAAACAGTTTTGCAGTTTCTTATAAAGTTAAGCATACACTGATCACATAAACCAGCAACTCAGCTCCTGGGTACTTAGCCCAAACAAACCAAACTATATGTCCACACAACAACTTGTTCATACCATCCTAATTTATGATCACCAGCTCCAAAGTTCATCAACAGGTGAATGCATAAACAAACTGGTCATACAATGGACTACTACTCAGAAAGGAAAAAGTTACTAGTACGTGCAAGTGCATGAATGAACCTCAAAAACATTACGCTGAGAGAAAGGAGTCAGGCAGGAAAGAGCATGGACCCTACTTTTACACAAAATTTTAGAGCAGAGAAAACTATTAATACTTTATGATGACAGACAGCAGATCAGTCGCTGCCAGGTGCCATGGGTGCACTTGTGCAGGGGTGATGGAAACATCCTATGCCTTGACTGTGATGCTGGGGACACACCATATGAATTTGTCAAAATTCATGGAATCTTACACTTAGAAAGGGTGGATTGTGTTCTATTACATTGCACCTCAATAAAGTTGATATGAAACAAAACAAAACAAATCACAGTTTCCCAGGGTTGAGACCTCAAGCTATGGGATCACATTCACCTGACCCTGGTATCTGCTCCACCATCTACATGATGTGTGACCTTGAACAGGTCACTTAACCTTCTTGTGCATCAGATGTCTCATTTGCAAAATAGGAATAATAACAGTAGCTACCTCAGGGTCATATATATATATATATATATATATATATATATAAATGTATACATATACATAATATGTAATATGTATACATATTATACATAATAACACAGGGTCATTTTAAGAATTGAAAGAATGGTTAGTGTGGTGACTACACACAGTAGGGACTCATAAAATGTTAGCTACAGAGACATACATGTATACACACATATACATATAATATGAATCCCAGTTTTCCCCAAAATATAGTGTAGATAAATTATTATAGAAAAAAGACTAGACGAAAACACACTAATGTAGTAAGAGTGATTATTTCAGAGTGGTGAAATGGTGGGTGATTTTAATTTTCTTATTCAAAATCCTGCAATAAGTATGCATGCATTTTATAATCTGAATGGAGATGATAAAAGAAGGTAAAAAGCTATTGGCTGATGTAGGTCCAAGGACACTCACTGCAGTAAAGTTTGGTTTTAGTGGATGATGTGACACCACCAGATATCCAGGAGGGCTCAAGTGACATTCATTGTGTTCCTCCTTGTGATGGAGCACCGAGGAGCCAGCAAAGTGAATGAAGTTGGACACATATTTGTTGCTAAGTGACCAAAATGAGGTCAGTGGGTGGAGGATACAATGAGGAAAAAGAAACTGCATATGCATGTTTAGAAGTGTACTGAGATTTTTGGAAAGATACATAAGAAATGAAGACATGGGTAACAGCAGTTTACTCTCATAAAGGAGGACTTTCTTTTGTATAAATGTGTGTGTGTATATATATATATGAATATAGTATATATATGACATAAAGTTGTAAGTACAGTAC